GCAGGGCTGGCTTGGCAGTGCTGGGGCCAGCTGTGAAGAGCACATCTGGCTCTTACCTCAAGCACCAGCTTATGCTGAATTTACTAGCACAATTTAAGTTGGTGCCACGCGGCCTTGAGCTGGCAGAGGAGTTCTGAGCCCTGTGCCTCGCTCCTCCTTTGCCCCAGCATCTCTGCAGTGAAACCTCCCCAAACTCGAGGGTTGTTATCCCTGTGCTTGTCCCAAACAGGCCCTGCTGAGCTGCTCGAGGCCTGGCTGGCTCAGTTCAGCCTGGAGGAGAAGAAAGGGGAGATTGCAGAGCTGCTGGCCACCAGCCCTTCCATCAGGGCACTCTACACCAAAATGGTGAGCCCTGCCTGCCTGGGCACTTCCTGACGTGGGGAATGCTGCAGGAGGGCCCCGAGCTGTTTGTCCCCTGCAGCTGGAATAGGAACGATGGAGAAACAGTTTGCAATGGGAAAATGCTTGTAATAAAATGGGAGCTGCAAGCTTTGGGAGGAGAGAGGGGCACAGCAGCAGCTGCAGCTCTGCCTCTGAGGGGCTCATCCCTTTCTCCCAGGTGCCTGTGGCTGTTTCCCACTTGGAATTCTGGCAGCGCTACTTCTACAAACTGCATTGCCTGGAGCAGGTGGGTCAGGCTGGGGGCTCCCTGGGGGGCTTTCCCTGGGAAAACAGGGATGTGGGCTGACCCTTGGAGTCAGTGATGCTGAGATGCCTGGGGGAAGAAAGGGACTGGGGATGTGAGCAGCTGCTGGTGTTGAATTCCTGCAGGATGAAGCCCGGAGGGAGGCTCTGAAGCAGCGAGCAGAGCAGAGCATGCACCAAGAGGAGCCAGGCTGGGAGGAGGATGAAGGTGGGACAGGTTTTGGGGCTTTGTGGTGAATTTGTCATGGGGTGGTGGCTCCTCCTCACTCCCCCAAATCACAGTGGGCAAAGGAGGGGCAGCTCTGATCTCTGCTCTGTGACCAGTGGTGGGGTCTGAGGGAATGCCTGGAGCTGTGTCAGGGTGGTTGAGGTTGGATGTCAGAAAATGTTCTCCCCCCTGAGGGTGCTGGGCACTGCCCAGGCTCCCCAGGGAGTGGGCACAGCCCCAAAGCTGGCAGAGCTCCAGGACAAGGCTCTCAGGGGTGCCCAGGGTGGGATTTTTGGGGTGCCTGTGCAGGGCCAGGGGTTGGACTGGATGATCCCTGTGGGTCCCTCCCAGCTCAGGACATTGTGTGACTCTGTGGAATCCAGCTCCCAGCCCAGCTGCTGCTGCACCTGCTGAAACATCTCTCACTTCTCTTCTGCCTCCCTACAGAGGAGTTCTTGGGCATGTCCCCCCTGCCTTGTGCAAACATCACATTTCCAGGAGCAGCACAGAAAGAACCCACCTCAGGGGGAAACCACCCTGCTGCTCCCGAGCTTCCCTCTGGGGAGAGCTGGGCTGTGCTGCCCCCAGAGCTGGTGCCAGTGGAGCAGAGCCCCTCAGAGAGCAGCGAGAGCGTGTCCCTTGTGACTCAGATTGCAAACCCTGCCCCTGTGCCTGCCACCCAGCCACAGACTGCAGCTCCACCCCCGGGCGCTGGCCACCTCTCCCAGAGGCTGGTGGAGGCCACCTTGGAAGAGCAGAGCTCCCTGCCAAAGCCCCCAGAAGCTGCTCAGCCTTCTGCACCTGCCCAGCAATCAGCAGCATCCTCAGAGCTGGCAGCTGGAACAGAGCTCAGAGAGCTGGAGAGCAAAGGCCAGGCCAGGACAGAGACTCTGAGAGAGGAAGGGCCCACAGACCTGAGAGTCTTCGAGCTCAACTCGGACAGTGGCAAATCCACCCCCTCCAACAACGGCAAGAAAGGTTTGTGTGGGGCTGGGAACCCTCTGGGAGGGGCAGCTCCTGGGGAAAGGCTCTGGGTTTGTGGTGGTGGGGGAGATTAAAGGGAAAGAAATCAAAGATCTGCTGGCTGAGCAGATCCCTGGATGCCAGGAAAGGCTCTGTGCTCTGTGGAGGGGATGTGGTGATTCCCTAGGAGTGTCCCTGCTGGGACAATGACAGTCCCCATATCTAAGTCCCTCCTGTCATTCCTTATCTCCTGCATTTTCTGGAACCTGACACATCCCAGTTCTCCCAGGCCAGAGGAAAAAATCTTCCAGCATCCACCTCTCCCCCTGCTTCTGCACCAGCCCTGGCTGTGAGGGAAGCAAGCTCAGCCCATCCCCTCTCTGTTCCTGGCAGTGTGGAGGCTTTCCCTCCTCAGCAGCTCTGAGCCCTGGCAATTCCAGGGCTTTGGGGCCAGCTCTGGTGGCTCAGTGGGGACATTTGTGCTTCCAGGCTCCAGCACGGATATCAGCGAGGACTGGGAAAAGGACTTTGATCTGGACATGACGGAAGAGGAGGTGCAGCTGGCACTCTCCAAGGTGGAAATGTCTGGGGAGGTGAGTCAGGGCAGGCAAAACTGCCCCCCAAAAGCATCACCGACCCCTCAGGGTGGTGCTGAGGGGCTGCTGGGATGAGTGTGCAGGTTTCCCCAGGGGAGCAGAGCAGGCAAATCCCTGTTGGGAAGGTGTGGGAGTGTGAGGATACATCAGGTGCCCTGGGCAGGAGGAGCTGTTGAGTTACAGAAACAGTTGAAACCAGCTCAGAAAAAGTTCAGAAACGGATTTCCTCTTGTTTGCAGCTGGAAGATGAAGAGTGGGAAGACTGGGAATAAAGCAGCTGCTTCCAGTGTGTGTCACAGGCTCATTTCCACCACCGAATGTGAATTCAATCTCGGACCGGCTGTTCCTTTGTGTGTGACTGTGCTGGGGGTTGCACTTCCAGGCTGGAGGAGCTCCATTCCTCCTAAAACCTGGGGGCAGCTCAAGTGACCCCTTCAGATCCAGGAGGAGGAAGCAGGAGGTCGCTGGCACACAGGAGCCTGACTTCTCCATAGGTCCTAGAGACTGGCCAAGCCAAAACTGACCCTGACGTGTTGGGAGGAGGCAGGGTGAGGGGTCCCTGGGGCCAGCTGGGCACTGAGAGCCCTGCCAGGTGTGCTGGGTGCTGCCAGGCTGCCAGCTGGCTCCTTCCTTGCTTGTGTGTGCACGTGTAACCTACAGCTGAGAGGCTCCTGGACGTGGCTGTGCCTGCTCCGCTCGCTGCTCCGCAGCTCCCACCCGGGGAGGGCCTGAGGGCTGGAGGTGCTGCACAAAAAGGCACTTGGCTCGTGGCTTTGACCCTGGAAGGAGCCAAACCCCCTGCCAAACCCTGAGCTTCTGCCTGGCTTTTTGTCTTGGAAGCTTTTTCTCATGGAAACTCCCGTTTCCAGCAGTTCCTCGAAGAGCCAAGGCCTGCTGCTCCCCCCCCTTTGCAGCTGCACCACCTTCCTGCACTGGGTTTTGTGTCTTTCTAGTTAAATTCTCCAAGCAAAATCCTCGTGGCTTGCTCTTACTCCAGCCCTGCTGGGCTGGCAGTGATTTGGGAACAGAACCTCTGTGTTGGTGGCCAGTTCAGCCCTTGCAAAGGCCCAGCCTGACCCACTGACCACTTCAAGCTCAGCTTGGCCAGCCTGGGGACAGAGGGGCTCCCAAATGTGGGGGGTCCCTGCTGGCTGAGGCTGTGTGTCCCCATCTGAGCCCTGTCCCACCCGTGCCAGGCCCTGCAGCCACCACGAGCTTTGCTGTGCTCACTTGGGTTCCTTCACTTCAGCCCCTCTGACTGCTTGCTTCACTTCCTTCAGCCCCACGGCCTCTTTTTGGGGCATTTTCCTTGTCACAACATGAGATGTTGCTCATGCACAGTTATCCCAAGGGGACAGTGCCCTCACTGCTCTCTTTGGGGTGCTGGGGTGACACTTTCTGCCTTTGTCCTGCCCCTTCCAGGGCCGAGGGTTTCCTGCTGGGTTTGGACAGCACTAAACGAGGTGCACTTGGAAGAGTTGGGGTTTTGGGGTTGGGTTTTCCTTCTTTAGGGTGACTCCTGGTGGGAACATCCCTGTCCAGCAGAGCCTCAGCTTGTCCTGGCAGGGATTGTGGTGGGCAGGGGACACAGGGGACACCAGTGGGGACCTGGGGCTGGTGTGAGCCCACAGAGAGGCTCGAGGGTGCAGCATCTGTGTCACTTTCTTTTCTCCTTTAGTGGAATGAACCGTTGGGTTGGTTGTGCAATATTCTCTGTTCTTGAACTATTCCGCATCTCCCTGAGCCTTTTCTAGCTGGGGTGACAAACCAGGAACAATTCTAACAGCTGGTAGTTTTGTAACAATGACTTTCTCCAAACCTTTTACAGACTTGCAGTTAACAGCGATTAAAGGAGTTCTCAGAGTCTCTGCTGTGTTCTCATTTCCTCCAGGGTGGGGATGACACAAGGGAGGGGACACGAGTGACAGGACAGAGGGGACACGAGGGAGGGGACACGAGTGACAGGACAGGGGACACGAGTGACAGGACAGAACTGATGGGACACAAGTGACAGGACAGAGGGGATAGAACCCAAGTGAGGGGACAGGAGTGACAGGACAGAGGGAACAGAACTGAGTGATGGGACACCAGTGAGGACATGAGTGAGAGGACACAAATGGCAGAACCTGAATGACAGAACCCAAGTGACAGGACAGAGGTGACAGCACACGAGTGACAGAACCCGAATGACCCAATCCAAATGACAGAACCCAAGTGACATGACACGACTGACAGGGCACGAGTGACAGAACCCGAATGACAGAATCCAGGTGACAGGACAGAGGTGACAGCGCACGAGTGAGAGCGCACGACCGCCCCTGCAGTTCCTCCCCCGCTCGCTGGGGGCGCCCGAGCGCCGCTGCCGCGCCCTGCCGCTCTCCGCGCGCACAAGTTTGGCCCCGCGCGGCCGCCGTCCGGCCCGCGCCCCGCCCGCTGCCGCCATATTTTGGCCGCCGCCGCCACCACCGGAGCCGCCGCCGCAGCCGCCGCGATGGGTGAGGGCCGTGAGGGGCGGGCGCGGCCCGGGGAGCTCCGGGCACGGCCGAGGGGGTGGGGCGGAGCCGGAGAAGCCGTCCCGAGGTCGGGCAGCGCGCACAGCCCATCCGCCCCGCGCTGCCGCCGCCCTCGCCTCTCACCGGCGTCCCGGGCGCTCCCGGGGCTGAGGGCGGCGGGGCCGGCGCGGCCGCTGAGTCATCCCGGGGCTGCTGCTGAGGGTCTGGGGGTCTTGGGGGGCTCTCGGTGAGGGAGGCCTGGGGGTTGTGACCGCTTCGGGCAGCGCCAGCAGCGCCTTTGGGGAGCTCCGGGTGGGGCGGGAGCTGCGGGGGGTTAAGGGTGAAGTACCCCCGGTGTGGGGTGCCAGGGTGAAATACCCCCGGTGTGGGGTGCCAGGGCGAGGTACCCCGGGTTTGGAGGTGCCAGGATGAAATACGCGGGTGTGGGGGTTAAGGGTGAAATACCCCGGGTTTGGGGGTGCCAGAGTGAGGTACCCCCGGTGTGGGGTGCCAGGGCGAGGTACCCCGGTGTGGGGGGCCAGGGTGAAATACCCTGGGTTTGGGGGTGCCAGGGTGACATATCCCCGGTGTGGGGTGCCAGGGCTGCAGAGCCCGGGCTTGGCGGTGCCAGGGTGAGGTACCCCGGGTTTGGGGGTGTCAGAGCTGCAGTGCCTGGGTTTGGGTGCGATAGGCTGGGTTTGGGGTGCCAGGGCTGCTAGAGCCTAGGTTTGGGGGCGCCAGGGTGAAATACTCCGGGTTTGGGGGTCTCAGGGGTGTAGTTCCCAGATTTGGAGATGTCAGGGCTCCAAGATCCCGGGTTTGGGGATGCCGGGGCTGCACATCCCGTGTTTGAGGGTGTCAGGGTGAAGTGCGCCAGGTTTGGGGGTGCCAGGGCTCCAAGAGCCTGGCTTTGGGGATGCCAGGGCGAGATACCCGGGGTTTGGGGGTGCCAGGGTGGAATACCCCGGGTTTGGGGGTGCCAGGGCTCCAAAAGCCCGGGTTTGGGGGTGCCAGGGCTGCAGTGCCCGGATTTGGAGGTGAGAGCTGTGAGTCCGGTTTTGGGGTGTCCCTGCTGTCCCTTTGGGGTGTTTGGGGCTCGCCTGGCTGTCAGATCTCTGCTCTGTTGAAATTCAGTTCAGTTCTGACCTCCCCCAGAGCTCGGGGTTCACGTGAGAACCCCCCAAACCTCTCCTGGGTGCTGCTAACCCAGCGGGGCTCTGGCTCTTGGGATTTTTATTAAAATGCAGCCTGAGCCCTCAGTGTCACCGTGGCTGTCCCTGTGTCACCGTGGGTGGCAGGACACCCCTGGCAAGGGATGGCATCTGTGGCAGGCAGCTCTCTGTCCCCTGCAAATAAATCCCAGCTTGGTGTTCTCCTTCAAAAAATGCTTTTTGGTTTGATGTGGGAGGTCCCACCTCGGGGAGGAAAGGTGGATTTTATTTTGTTTTATTTTATTTATTTATTTATATTTTGTTGAGGGTTCCTGTTTGGTTTGGAAGGATGAGGTGAAAAAGCCAAACCTATAACAGCCGTGCTTTCCTTAAAATTGAGTGAGGATCTTCCGGAAATAAAGATTAAAATGTTTCAATTTTCCACATGCAATGTTGTCTTTTAACCAGAGCTGCTTCAGAAGCTTAATGGCTTTCAAGTGGCAAGTTTAGGTTGGATATTGGGAAGAAATTCTTCCCTGTGAGGGGCTGGGATGGATTTCCCTGAGAAGCTGTGGCTGGAATTATCCCAGGCCAGGTTGGACAGAGCTTGGAGCAGCCTGGGACAGTGGAAGATGTCCCTGCCCATGGCAGGGGTGGCACTGGATGAGTTTTTAGCTCCTTCCAAACCAGGGAATCTTCAAAAATGCTCTGTGATCCTTTAAAAACGATAATTTTAAAATGATTTTGCATGTCAGCATCTCACCAGGAACTTTTCTGCCCCCTCCAAACCCTCCTGTGGTGCTCCAGGAGAAGTCAGTGACCACGTCTGTGTGTGGCTGCTGCACCTCCCAGCCCTGGACAGCTTGGAAAAATTAATTTATGGCTTCAGATGTAAAAGCTGGACTGGCAGCTCTGAGGAGAAAAATGTCCTTGGGCCTGGTGGGAATGTCTGGAAATTCTTGGGGCAGTTTTGTGTGGAGCTGAGGAGTTTGTGCACAGGAGCTTCCCCACCCCTGTAAGAGTTGAATATCCCCCTTGTTTGAATTATCCTCATGTAACTTTATTATTTTTAAACAAGCTAAGGCTGGTTTTTAAATTATTTTAAGTTAATGATGCTGTTGGAAATTGTCATCAGTTCGTTCCTCGTTTGCCATGCAAATGACATCTTTAAATGTCTTTAACCCACGGAGCAGTGTTAATGCTCAATTCTCAATAAAACCCCCGTGGCTGATGAATTTAACAGTTAATTGGCTGCTTTGCTTTGTTTGCTTTAGTTCAGCAGAGCAAACATGAACTTTGTCAAGGGGGAGAGTTTGATCATTAAAATCCTGCAAGAGTGAAAGTCCTGATTCCTTCAGGCTTTTAGTCCTGGTGAGGTGCAGGTCAATCTGCTTAGCAAATCACACAGTCCTGTTTGTTTCTGAGGCAAAGCACACAGATTTATTGGAATTTTATATCCCCCTGTAATTATCTCTGAGTGTTTCTGCTCGGTTTTAACCTGGAACTCTCCTGGGTCGACTTTGAGTGGGTTCAGTTGAAGTTTTTCCCTGTTTTAGTGACTGTTCTCAGCTGGCACTTGTGCTTGATCAGTCCATTTTAAAGGAAATCTGACTGGATAAACCAACTGGAAGAGAACTTATTGGGATGAAAAGATCCAATTTTGGGATGAAAAGATCCAGTCAGAGTAGGAAGCTTTGAGAACTGGGCTGAGGAGTGCTGGGTTCTTTTTCCAGCAGGGCAGGGACATTCCAGAAAGATTCCTAATTTTGTTTTAACCCTGGGCAAGAGCAGCAAACGCTGCCTGCCAGTGAATTTCCCCCAAAGAGAACTTTTTGCTTGTCCCTTCCCCCTGGCAGCGCCGCACATTCCAGCGGTGATTTCACATCCCCGGCTGCCAGGGAGCCGCGGGGATCGGGGATTTACCGGGGATCGGGGATTTACCGGGATTTACCGGCACAGCGAGCCGGGGCCAGCCTGCTCAGGACAGCTCTGCGGGGCTTTGATGCTGCCAAACACCCCAAAAACCCCCGGGAGAACAAAGCAGAGCTGCCCCACTGGCAGCACAGCAGAATTCTGCTGCTTTTCCAGGGTTTCACTGCAGCTGGGCGAGTTCCAGGGTTGTAGGCACAGCCAGAGTTGGGATTATTTAACAGGATTTTTTTTTTTTTTTGTGTATGTGTAGCTGTTCTCCTGCTTCAGCATTTGCTGTGTCTTCTGAGCAAACAAAGTGAATTTTTTCCTTTTATATTTTTTCTGTTCTCCTGCTTCATTTGCTTGTGTCTTCTGAGCAAACAAAGTGAATTTTTTCCTTTTATATTTTTTCTATTAATTCACTGAAAAACTGTCAGTCACAGTTAAAAAAAAAAAAAGTGGTTTTGATGATTTCTGCTAGCAACTCAGAGCTGTTCTTTTACACATTAATTCAGCTACTTTTATGTAGTTATTCATCTGATTTGTACTTAAGTAGTACAGATGATTTAGTCTTCTTTTTCTAGAGTTTCATTTCACTTAATAAAGTTGTCCTGGACACATTTTTCTTTTCTGGAAGAGTCCTCTGGAGATGTTAATGATGGTAGGAAGAGATGGGAGGATCCTCTGGGATTTCAGGGAATTGGAGATATATGAGGAACGAGGTGAAACTCAGCAATTCACTCCATTTATTTTGCTGCAATTTGTCTAATTGAGAGGAGTTTAAATTGTAAATCACCAACTTTATCCCATCCCAGGGAAAACTTTGGTGGAAAGGGCCTTTAGAGGTCACCTGAGAGCTGGGAATGTCCCCAGCGGGCACTAATTGGCAGATTAGCGCTGCTGAAGTTCCTCCAGTGTATTTATTTATTTCCACTTGCATCATTCCCCGAGCAGGGAGCAGCTGTCAGCCCTGCTGGCCGGGCTGTGAGTTCAGAGCCACCTTTGGAAGATTCCCTGTGGAATGTTCCCTGTGGGAAGGGACGTTTTGGCTCCGAAAGAGCCGTGTCAGGTCTGGCAGTGCCTTGGCCCTGACTCTGCAGTGACTCAGCTCCCAGGGCTCCAGCAGCAGCTGAAGAAAAGGTTGGAAGCAAATCTTGCAGAAAATCGGGAAGAGGCAGGCTTGGATTCCCCACCAGCAGCATCCAGAAGCTGTTAAGAGTAACAACTCTGGATTTTACAGTTTCCTGCTGTAGCTTGTGCTGCATTTACAGGGATTTGAGTGCCCTGCTGAGCCTTCAAAGTCAAACTTTCACCCCGTTTTTCCTTTCTTTTAAGTGGGAAATACCTTCTCATCCTCCAATTTATGAGTGTGGCTGCTTGGGCTCGTAATTCTTTGACAGCTGGAGGATTTTTTTTTCCCTCAGTGAAGGCAAGAGGGGCCAAATTTCTTCCAGCTCCTGAGGAGGTTTCCTTTGCACAGGAAGTTGGGAAGGTGTTCAGTTCAGTTTCATCCTTAAGTTTGAAATGCAAATACTGTTTTGTTTTTTGGGGTTTTTTTAAATTTCTTTTTTATTTTTTGCTGGAGCTGTAAAAGAAGTTCATTAATCCAGGGAGCTACAAAAGGCACAACTGGGGGAACTGTGGGGCTCCTAAAGCAGAAGGGATGTTTTGTCCAAGCTGGATCAGAACTTTTAAAATTGAATTAATCTTGCAAGAGTTGTTGTTTTTCGAGTGAAATCTCTCAGTTCAGTGCCCTCTGGCACTTCTGTAAAAGCAAAGTGAAAATCTCTGCCTGGAGTCTCTTCCTTAGGAGCAGAGGATTCCTTCCCCATTCCTGAGAGCCCAGATGCTCCCAGACCCTGATTAATGGGTTTGGGGATATTCCCACAGATGGAATTGGAGTTCAGAGGTAACACAAATGCTTGGTACAGAAACATTCCAAACGCAGAGTTTGTCCTGCTGTGTTTCATTCCATGGGTTTGGTCCTGCTGCAGTCCAGAGCTCCCTGTGAGGTCCTGATCCTGCATTTTTCCCACCCGTTGCCATGGAAACGGGCTGGAATGTCCCAAATCAGCATTCTCCTGCCATTAAAACCCTGCCAGAGATGATGGGCTGGGGGGAAAAAAAACCAATGGAAATCATCTGCAGGAATAAACTGTGGGAGAAAAAGCAGGGAATTTCGTGACAAGCAGCCCTGAAGAGTTCGAGTTCTCTTTGGGGTTTCCCTGCAGGATGAGAGTTCTTGATGCTCTGGGACAAAAAAAAACCTTAAAGGACGAGGTGCTGAGTGCTCCTGAGTGTGGCTGGTCCTGGCACAGCTGAGTTTGGAGGCAGCTGAGCTGTCATGTGTCCCTTGGCTATTTATGGCCCTGCCTGGTGATCCTGGGCATCCTCACTTCTCCTTCCTCCTTTTCTTCAAAAGCACCTTTTAATTGGAGGCTTTGCTTTCCAAAAGGAGCATTAAAATTCTTAATTTGTTTGGAGATCTAAGCTGTCAGCTCTTACTCTTCCCTGTGGCTGCATGAGCCACAATGGGGTGGAAATACAAATAAAAACATAACAGTGGTGCTTAAATACATTTTCTGAATGAAAATTGACACCTGGCTTTTGTCTGGTCAGATACAAACCCCTAAAGTCTGTAGATTTCTCTCTTTTTTGGTGTCTTTTTAGCTGGTTTTGGGAAATCAAAGAACTGAAAGTGTTTTGTTTCCTCTCCTGTTAAAATATATTTTTTTCCTGTTGTTTTCTCTCTCCTTAGTAATGAAAAGCTGGATGCTTGTATTTAGTAATGTTTTTTCTTGGGTTGGCTGTGGGCTTTTGGGTCTGACACTTCTCCAGTTGATCTTGGAAGGGCTCCAGAGTGGCTGGAGGTTGTTGATAAGTGGGACTGAAACTTTCTGTGAGCCACGGGGCTGAGGGTGCCTCAGGCTTGAAATAAGGAGGAGATAAAACTGCAAACTTCCTCCTGGCAGCTGGGAAAAACCAAAAATGTTTGTTTTCAAATGAGTTCTGAAGGAGTAACTTGGTTCAGGGCTAGCTGAGCCTCTGAGGTTTGTGCTGAGAAAGGCAAAAATGTGCAAATAATGTCAGAAATGGGAGAGTTTGGGGAGTTCCTGCCCTGCTCAAAGCAGGGGGTTCCAGCTGGGGCAGTCAGGGGTTGCCACCCTTCCCTGCTTCAGTTACAGCTTGGCCCTGGCTGCCTTCAGCTGTGCCAAAAACTGGAATGTCCCTTCCCTGAGTGGGAGGGAGAAAAAACAGACTGGGAGGGAAACTCTGGAGGAATGAGGGTGGAATTGCTGCATTTGTCAGAAGTGGGTCAGGGCCTGAACACCCTCACCTACAGCTCTGCTCTGTTGTTGTTACAAACTCCATTCCTTCACTCTGCTGGGGTTGTGCTCTCTGGGAGTAAATACCTGGGGAAAAATGCTGTGCTGCTATTTGGGAAATAGGAATTCCTGCTGAAAACCGAGGGCACTTGGAGTAAATAAAGGAATTCCATCTGGTTATCCCGTGCCTTGTGGGAAGAGCACACAGGAGCAGTGGCAGGAGCCCTGAGGCAGAATTCCTCCTGTTTTCACAGAAAACTATCGAATGAAGAGCTACAAGAACAAAGCCCTAAACCCCGAGGAGATGCGCAGGAGGAGAGAGGAGGAGGGGATCCAGCTGCGCAAACAGAAACGGGAGCAGCAGGTACTCAGTGAGCTCACCCCTCAGCAGGCTGGGTCAGCCCTAGCACAGCCCAGTCTGCAGCCTTCGAGGATCTGTGCATTAAAGTTTGTTTACAGTCTTCATTTTTCCTGTTTTTACTGAGATCTTGCAGCAGGTACTCCCTGAGCTCCCCCCTCTGAGCAGGCTGGTTCAGCTCTAACACAGCCCAGAGTCTGCAGCCTTCGAGGATCTGGGCATTAAAGGTTGTTTGCAGTCATTTTTCCTGTTTTGACTGAGATCTGAGCTCCCCACTCTGAGCAGGCTGGGTCAGCCCTAACACAGCCCAGAGTCTGCAGCCTTCCAGGATGTGTGCATTAAAATTTGTTTGCAGTCTTTATTTTTTCTGTTCTGAGATCTTGCAGCAGGTAACTCACCTGGAGCAGGCTGTGTCAGCCTTAACTGCTGCACTCTTCAAGGATCTGTGCATTAAAGTTTGTTTGCAATCATTTTTTCTGTTCTGAGGTCTTGCTATTTTCTCTTTTTCTCTCTAGACCCAGCTCACATGGAGAGCTTCCCAAGCATTTTGTTCTTGGGCTACTACTTGAGTTTTTTGTTGTGTTGTTTTTTTCCTTTTGTTGTTCATAGATCCTTGATTTTAAAGGTGGTGTTGGGTTTTTTTAGATATAATTAGTAGGTGGGATTATTTCCTGGAGAAACAGGAAGAGCAAGTGAAAGTATGGCCTTAACCCTGGGTGTGTTTCTTTTTTGGAAGACGAGGTGATTCCCAAGTGCTATGTCTGGAACTAAATATTTACTTTATTAGCACCTTATCCAAGCTACTTTTTTGCCCAGTTTTCCTGATTTTGGTCAAATTCTGCACTTGCCTTCCCTGGTGGCTCAGTGATTTGGGCATTTGCATATCTGAGAGCAAGAATTAGCCCTTAGCTTGTGTGCCAGACTAACCCTGGGAGTGCAGAGCTGCTATTAATGACCCCTTTTAATTCAGGTTACCTTCAGTCCAGGAGGGATCTTGATTCTTGAGGAACAAGAATATCGAGTTGTGGAGCCTGTTCATGGTTGCTTTCTAATAACAATCCCTGTGTTCTGCTCCCCACCAGCTCTTCAAAAGAAGGAATGTGGAGCTGATCAATGAAGATGACTCCATGTTTGACAGTCTCCTGGTGGATTCCTATGTCACTTCCACAACGTGTGGGGTAAGGTGCCTTCAGACAGATTTAATTAATTTAATTTCATGCTTTGGGGGTGGTGAGGCCCTGCAGAGATTCCCAGAGAAGCTGTGGCTGCCCCATCCCTGGAATTATCCCAGATTGGATGGGGGTTGGAGCACCCTGGGGTAGTGGAAGGTGTCCCTGCCCTTGCCACTGGGTGATCTTTAAGCTCCTTCCAACCCACACCATCCTGGGATTCTGTGCTTGCATGGAACTGCCAAAATCCAATGGTTTTATTCCCTGATTTTCAAGAATGTTTGTGTAAGTTGGTGCAGGCAGCTGGAACAGCCACAAACCTTTGGCTAAAATGCAAAGAGGAGATTTATTCCTGAGGGAAAAATTTATTCCTGAGGGATCCAGAGGGACACCAATGGAGCCATGAGCCCTGCAAAAGCTCAGCCCATGCCAGGGAATCCCCATCCTGCTACTCACTCTGATTTATCAAGGGTTATTCCCAGCTGCATGTTCCAAATCCTCCTCCAGTGTCCTTTAATTCCATTTTATCCCCTCCTCCTCTTTCATCCCATTCCCCCCACCAGCACTGCAGATGTGAACTGGAGGATCTCTGCTGTGCTGGGATCCCCAGGTTTGAATCTTGGGATTTCTGGCTAAGCCCAGATTGTAGGATGTGCTGTCTGTGATGCCTGGAATCATCTCAGGCTGAAATGAAACCATTTCTGTTCTCTGCCTCTTTTCAGGAGGGATTGATCACAGGAGAGATGGTGGAGATGCTTTTCTCAGATGACCCTGACCTACAGCTAGCAACCACTCAGAAATTCAGGAAATTACTCTCCAAAGGTAAAAATAACTCATCCCTGCTCAGGATCCAACAGAGCCTGCCTTTTACACGGGTTTGTGCACAAAAACTTTGCAGGCTGGGGGAAAAAAATATCCATAATTGAGAAATGTGATAATCTCTGGTATTGCTGATCATTGCCAGTTGTGTGATTTGTACAGAAAATCATTCTACCGAGCTGCCCTGATGAGTTCAGCCCAATTTGAGATAATTTAATTAAAACTTCAGCCTTGTTACTCCCCTGCATGAGGCCTGTTCACTCCCTGACACTGCCTTGCTGTTTCAGAGCCAAATCCTCCGATAGATGAGGTGATAAACACTCAGGGAGTGGTGGAGAGGTTCGTGGAATTCCTGAAAAGAAGTGAAAATTGCACATTACAGGTAAAGGAGAGTGTGTTATCAATTCTTCAGGGTGTGGAGCTCTTTAGCCTGTGAACCCACAGGTGCTGTGAGGGGAAAATGGTATTTTGAACCCCAAAAATGTGATCTGTAGGAGAAGACAAAACTAGTTTGTAATGCTCAGGCAAAAAAAAAAAATTAAATTGTAAATTGCTCTGAATTAAATTCTTGGAAAAATACTGGCAAAAATCACCTAATTCAGCTGCAGGAAGAAACTGTGTGAGGAAAAACTTCCATTGCTGGAGGCAGAGAGGCCAAGAAATGTTAGAAATGGGTTTGGCCAGTGCTGATCCTGCCTGGGGCAGAGGAAAGGCTTGGGTGCCTTCCTGAGATTCCTTCCAGTCCTGATTTCTGTGGAGGGGTTAAAGAGACTCCCATACATGGAATTTCATCCGAGCTGATAACTGCTTTCCTCTTTCTCCCTGCCCTCTGGCCCCAGGCCATGGACCAAAGGGGCTTCATTTCCAGGAGAAATGGATGGAAATCTGGTTTTAAACCAAAAAAGAGAAGCAAAAGCAGGGAATTCCTGCTCAGCTTCCCCTGAACTCACAGCATCTTTGGGAAATTTGGATGAAATATAGAAAATGTTCTATTTTGGGTGTTCCTGCACTGTTTCTTGCTGGGAAGTGGTTGTGGAAGAGAAATGAGGTGGTGGTGACATCTCTTGCTCATCCTTTGAACAGCTGTGGCTCTTTTATTGCTCAAGAAGATAAAATCCTTGGAGTGCTCAGGCATTATCTTCCTTTCTCTCCCAAAACCTTTGCAGCAGAATTGTAGGAATTGTAGCCAGAATTTAATGAGAGCTGTTTTGCTGGTCCAGGCTGATTTTATTCCTTTTTCTTTGCTGAATCAGGCTGATTTTATTCCTTTATTTTGCTGGTCCAGGCTGATTTTATTCCTTTATTTTTCTGAATCAGGCTGATTTTATTCCTTTATTTTTCTGAATCAGGCTGATTTTATTCCTTTATTTTTCTGAATTAGGCTGATTTCCTTTATTTTTCTGAATCAGGCTGATTTTATTCCTTTATTTTTCTGAATCAGGCTGATTTTATTCCTTTATTTTTCTGAATCAGGCTGATTTTATTCCTTTATTTTTCTGAATTAGGCTGATTTTATTCCTTTCTTTTGCTGGATCAGGCTGATTTTATTCCCATTTATCCCTCCTTTCAGTTTGAGGCTGCGTGGGCCCTGACAAACATCGCCTCGGGGACCTCCCAACAAACCAAAATAGTCATCGAGGCTGGGGCAGTTCCCATCTTTATAGAGCTCCTAAACTCTGACTTTGAGGATGTTCAGGAGCAGGTAAGGATCTCTCCTCACTTTGGGATTTTGGGGAGAACCACACGTTCAAACTGCAGTGTTTGAATGGAGTGATCCCAGCTGGCTGCAGAGCACAGATTGTTGCCTGGAACTGCAGGAAATTTGCTTTCTCAGCACACTGTCTGTCTCTCCCTCTCAGAAAATGAATGCTGAAGCTGTTGCTGTTTCCTTTCAGGCTGTCTGGGCATTGGGGAACATTGCTGGAGACAGCTCTGTGTGTAGAGATTATGTCCTGAACTGTGCCATTCTTCCTCCCTTGTTAATGTGAGTAGCCATGAGCAGTTCTGGGAGTGCCCTTGTACCAGGGAGCAGGGCTGGAGCTGGGCCACGGATTGCCTGGGGATCCAACCTGCTTCAGAGGAGTGGGAATCTGTGGAGAACATTCCTTACAGATTCCCTGGCACTCTGGGATCTCTGGGACTGAAAGCTCTGGTTCTCAGTGGGATTCTATGGATAACATTCCTTACAGAGCTCCTGGCAGTGCTTGGATCTCTGGGAGTCATACCTGGTTCAGAGGAGTGGGAATCTGTGGAGAACATTCCTTACAGGTTCCCAGGGAATCAAAGCCTTGGTTCTGAATGGGAATCTGTGGAGAACATTCCTTACAGGTTCCCAGGGAATCAAAGCTCTGATTCTGAATGGGAATCTGTGGATAACATTCCTTACAGAGTCCCTGGCACTCTGGGATCTCTGGGACTGAAAGCTCTGGTTCTCAGTGGGATTCTATGGATAACATTCCTTACAGAGTCCCTGGCACTGTGAGATCCCTGGGAATCACCTGCCTCAGAGGAGTGGGATTTTGTGGATAACATTCCTTACAGATTGCTTGTCACTCTGGGATTCCTGGGAATCAAACCTCTGCCTCAGAGGGATGGGATTCTGTGGCTAAAACTCCTCCGTGCTGCTCTGGGGTGCTGCTCCTTCTGGAGTCACAGGGTGTCCCTCAGCTCCTGCTCTCTGCTTGGGCTGTGGATTTTTTTGGGGTTGGAGTAGGATCAGGTCTCTCACACCACCTCCCTCAGTGTGTTGATAATGAGTTCTGTCAGGCCTGGGCTCTCGTTGCTCTGGCAAGAATTAATGTTCATCCCACCCTGGAAAAGTGAGGTTTTTGTCCCAAATGGCAGATTTTGCTGCTCCTGGTGTCAGCCTGACTCCTCACCCCACTGGACTCACTCTGAGCTCAGACTGAGCAGTTTGTGTCACTTGGTGGTGACTGGGAGTGTCTTCCTGGGCTGAACAGGAGCTAAATGTTTCAGTTTTAATTCTTTTGGTTCCCTCTGCTTCCACATCAAGGACAATAATCCCTGGTAATTCTCTGTTCAGGCTCCTCACCACGTCCACCAGGCTGACAATGACACGAAATGCTGTCTGGGCCTTGTCAAACCTGTGCAGAGGGAAGAGTCCACCTCCTGAATTTGATAAGGTGAGAAGAAATGCCCTGTTGGCAGCCAGGAGGTGGGGAGACACCCAGTTAAGAGGCTTGTCTGAGTTATTTTGGGCTGTTGAACTCGAGGAGGACACAGGATGAGGCTTTTCCTCCTGAGAGTGATCTGCATGTTTAATTTTTCCCAACCTTTCTGCTGCACCCCTCAAATGATGGGCAGGCCCAGGCTTCCCTAGAAAGTTTCTATAAACAATTTTCTTAAGAACTCTGGAATTTTGAGACTTCAATTACGATCAACAGCTATTCTGAGACCTGGAAATGCTAAAAACCAGAATTCCTGTGAGCTGTGGTATCTTGCCTTCCCCTGTCTAGGGAACCTAACTAAAGGTCCTGCTGGCTCTTCAGGTATCTCATCCTCCTTTGGCAACACAAAAATCTTTTTTAAAAAGTGAAAACGTTCTGCTTTAAGTGAAAACCCACTAAATATCAAAGCTGGGAAGCCTGTGGTAAGGGGTGAAATCTGAATTGAGTGTAAATATAAATCCACTTATAAATAATTGAGATGAACTTGGTCTGAACATTGAAAGTCAGAAATGGAGCAGAGCTCTTTAACAGGAGCTCCCAGGGTAACTCCTCAGTATAATTTAACTCCTCAGTGTAATTTAAATGTAGCAACCAAGCTGCTGAGGTGGCTTTGGAGCTGTGGGAAGAAGGGATCTGTGGCCGTGCAGAGCTTGTCCTGAGCAGTCAGCAGGAGCAGGAGGTGTTTGCCTGCAGCTGTGGTGGTCCTGGCCTGGTGACTAACCCTGGGTGGTGGCTGTTGTTGCAGGTGTCTCCCTGCCTGCCAGTGTTGTCCCGATTGTTGTTCAACAGTGACTCTGACCTGCTGGCAGATGCGTGCTGGGCTCTGTCCTACCTGTCCGATGGTCCCAACGAGAAGATCCAGGCTGTGGTGGACTCAGGGGTGTGCAGGAGGCTGGTGGAGCTCTTAATGTGAGTATCTGTCAGGAGGCTGAGTGGCAATCCATCTAAATCCAACCAAATCCCACCAAAGCTCCCGTGCACACGGGATCCAGGCAGCTGAGCTGGCCCAGGAGGGTCTGGAGCAGGTTCACAGCTGGGATTTGCTGGCTTGGCTTCCTGAGCTGAAGATTTTCCAGTTCTATGAAAAGATACCTGTGTTGGTCTCAACATCTGCCCCAAAATTACAAATTCACTGATAAAAGAAACATTATCCCTATAAATTTCTGAAATTCAACCAATTTTTGAGCATGGCCCAGCTGCACAGACAACTGGGAAGAACTTTCTCCTTCCCAGATTTCCTTAATGATTGCAGAGTGTTGTGTGCTCTTAAACTTCAGATGGAAGCCTGGTTATGAGGCAAATCCAAAAACAGTGGCTAGGAGAAATCAGCTTGGCTTTGTTTCTCCAAAATTTGTATGGAGAAGGGGATGGAGTCAGGATGCAAAGGATCAAACTGTGTTGCAGCTTTGTTTTCAGTGGCTTGATGCTGTTCTGTATGGCAGGGGATGGAATCCTAAGGAAATCATGCAGATGGGATCATGGGGAGGGAACATGCTGAATATCCCAGTGATCTGATGGAGCTGGGTTTGTCTTTGCACACTTCTCCTGCAGGCACAACGATTACAAAGTGGCCTCTCCAGCTCTTCGAGCAGTTGGCAACATCGTGACAGGGGATGACATCCAGACCCAGGTGAGAGGAGAGGAATTTCCTGCAGGGAATGCAGTGCCTGGCACTGGTGATCTCACTTGTGCTTCCTTTTCCCCCAAAGGTGATTCTAAACTGCTCAGCCCTGCCTTGCCTGCTCCATTTATTGAGCAGTCCCAAGGAATCCATCAGGAAAGAGGCGTGCTGGACCATATCCAACATCACAGCAGGCAACAGAGCACAAATCCAGGTACAGTCTTCCCCAGCCTGCCTGCAGTGATCCCAGATTCCAAGCTCAGCATTAAGGATTGGCAACTTTTTCCTTTCCCTGACCCTTAGAGGCTGGATTGGTTCACTTCTCTCATTCTGCAGCAATTTGCAAATTTGCTGCTGCCAAACGAGCTAAAAAATGGGGAATGCAGCAGCACATGGACTGACCCCACGGGCTGGATCACTGGAATTAGAGCAGACACAGCCCCTGTTTCTCCATCCTCAATCCCTTGGAAGAGCTGGAGCTCCTTGAGGTTTAATTACCCTTTTCCTGACCTCCACAAGCAGAACAGAGCTTTGAGCATTCCCCCACTGTTGCTGCAATTCCAGGAGTTGTCTGCTATGCTGGTCATGGAGTATCTGCTTTTAATAGGATTTGGCTGAGGAATAAACCACAGCAATCCCTTCGTCTTGGAATTGGGATCTGGATGTGGGGGTTTCTTTCAGGAAGTCTTCAGGGAAGTGCAGTGATCCCAGATTCCAAGCTCAGCATTAAGGATTGGCAGCTTCTTCCTTTCCCTGACCCTTAGAGGCTGGATTGGTTCACTTCTCTCATTCTGCAGCAATTTGCAAATTTGCTGCTGCCAAACGAGCTAAAAAATGGGGAATGCAGCAGCACATGGACTGACCCCACGGGCTGGATCACTGGAATTAGAGCAGATACAGCCCCTGTTTCTCCATCCTCAATCCCTTGGAAGAGCTGGAGCTCCTTGAGGTTTAATTACCCTTTTCCTGACCTCCACAAGCAGAACAGAGCTTTGAGCATTCCCCCAGTGTTGCTGCAATTCCAGGAGTTGTCTGCTATGCTGGTCATGGAGTATCTGCTTTTAATAGGATTTGGCTGAGGAATAAACCACAGCAATCCTTTCGTCTTGGAATTGGGATCTGGAAGTGGGGATTTCTTTCAGGAAGCCTTCAGGGAAGTGCAGTGATCCCAGATTCCAAGCTCAGCATTAAGGATTGGCAGCTTCTTCCTTTCCCTGACCCTTAGAGGCTGGATTGGTTCACTTCTCTCATTCTGCAGCAATTTGCAAATTTGCTGCTGCCAAACGAGCTAAAAAATGGGGAATGCAGCAGCACATGGACTGACCCCACGGGCTGGATCACTGGAATTAGAGCAGATACAGCCCCTGTTTCTCCATCCTCAATCCCTTGGAAGAGCTGGAGCTCCTTGAGGTTTAATTACCCTTTTCCTGACCTCCACAAGCAGAACAGAGCTTTGAGCATTCCCCCAGTGTTGGTGCAATTCCAGGAGTTGTCTGCTGTGCTGGTCATGGAGTATCTGCTTTTAACAGGATTTGGGGAATAAACCACAGCAATCCCTTCATCTTGGGAAGTTCTTCACATGGGGATCTGGAATTGGGGGTTTCTTTCAGGAAGCCTTTAGGGAAGTGCTGCCAATGCCAAGCCCTCTCCTGCCCTCTCTTCCCAGGCAGTGATAGATGCCAACATCTTCCCGGTGCTGATCGAAATCCTGCAGAAAGCAGAATTCCGCACGAGGAAAGAGGCAGCCTGGGCCATCACCAACGCCACCTCAGGAGGGACCCCTGAGCAGATCAGGTATTCCCTGGGCCATTCCTGCCTCAGTTCCTGGGAGCTTTGCCTTCAGGGGAATTTCCAGGCAAAGAAGAGACTCTGGAGAGTAACTGAGGCAGAGCTGGGTTGTAATTTGTGATTTCCTTCTGCATGAGGATAATTTAATCCCAAATTTTCTCCATCCTTCTTTGGGTAGTTGAGGTTAAATGTCCAAATTTGATGACAGATAAAATTCCAGTGTGGACTCAATTTGAGCAGCACCTGGATTTCAGAAGTGGCAGTTGGGTAGTTGAGGTAGTTGAGGCTTGGGTAGTTGAGGCTAAATGTTCACATTTAATGACAGATAAAATTCCAGTGTGGACTCAATTTGAGCAGCACCTGGATTTCAGAAGTGGCAGTTGGGTAGTTGAGGTAGTTGAGGCTTGGGTAGTTGAGGCTAAATGTTCACATTTAATGACAGATAAAATTCCAGTGTGGACTCAATTTGAGCAGCACCTGGATTTCAGAAGTGTCTCCTTTCATTTAAAAAAAAAATTCTGAAAATAGCGTTGCATGCAATGCAAATAAATGGATGAAAATTAACCTTGCAGAGCAGTAAATGTTTGAGCAGCACCTGGATTTCAGAAGTGGCAGTTGGGTAGTTGAGGTAGTTGAGGCTTGGGTAGTTGAGGCTAAATGTTCACATTTAATGACAGATAAAATTCCAGTGTGGACTCAATTTGAGCAGCACCTGGATTTCAGAAGTGTCTCCTTTCATTAAAAAAAAAAATTCTGAAGATAGCGTTGCATGCAATGCGAATAAATGGATCAAACCAATCCAAAAGTGTCAGCATCACACAGAAGATGGAGGACAAGAAGAAGGAGGACAGGACACACCCAGATTCTTCTGTCTTGCCTCTTGAACCCCCATTCTAAAACCCCAAAATTCTACTTTTTCACCCTGTGACAAAGTAACCATCATTCTACTCAAACTCTTGTGGCTTGTACATCTTCACACAAAGCTGGTAGTTTGTCCATGGGCTAAAATCAAAGGCACAGGTGTTTTTGACTCCGTGCCAGGGTCTCAAGTCATGCAGGGCAGCCAGAGGAATGGGTTCTGACCCAGGGCCAGCTTTGGCACAGCTGTGGATTTATCACAGAATTCTTTGGACTACAGAGAGCGAATTTCTTTATTCCATCTCATTCCACTTTTTTTTTTTTTAATTATTTTTTGTTTTCCTCTAAAGGTTTGGATAAAATAGAATTCCTCCAGAGCCACGAGAACCAGGAGATCTACCAGAAAGCCTTTGATTTGATTGAGCACTACTTTGGGGTGGAGGACGACGCCGCCGTGGCCCCGCAGGTGGACGAGAACCAGCAGCAATACATCTTCCAGCAACCCGAGGCTCCCATGGAAGGATTCCAGCTATAATCCTGGGGGAAAAAAAAAAAAAACAAAACAAAAAAACCCACCACAAACTTTCTGGAAAGTTTGGGAGAGCAGCTGCTGGTCCTGGCTGGGAAGGTTGGACACTCAGTGCTCCTGTTTAGGAAAACTCTACGAACACCGCGAGCGGCCGGTGCTGCCGGAGAGAAGGGGAATTTCTGCTCCTTGATCCTTTGGGCTGCTGCTCACCTTGGCTTTGGAGGCAGGAAGGACACAGAGGTGACAGGTGGCACCTCTTGGTGGCTTCTTCTTTGTGGTGGTGTCTCCCCAGTGCAGTTTTTACCTCGGGTACTCCAGCCTTGGGTTGGGTGAGGACACGGAGAGGAGGGAGCTGTTCTGGCCACAGTAATTCTGCAAAACCTGGCTTGATCTAATTAAATTTCCTTTTTTTTTTTTTTTTTCCTTTTTTGTTTTTGCACATGTTACTCTTTATTAAAGACTCTTTAATATGCCAAGAGCAAAATTTAGCCCTGGCCTTCCTCCTTCAGGTGGACAGTCCTGGTGAAGCCAGGACCAGTTCCCTGATGAAAAATACTGAAAATGGACAGAAAAATGAGAATCTCTCACTGCTGGGAAGTTTTGTTGTTTTTGTTTTTTTTTTTTTTTTTTTTTTTGCTGGTTCCCTTTTTTTTCTTTTTTTTTTTTTTTTTTTTTTTTTTTCTGCTGCTTCCCTTTGTCTAGATTTTTTTTTTGTTTGTTTGTTTTTTGGAAGAACTGCTAGTGGTATTTCCAAGGATTAAAAACAAAACAAAAAAAAAAGCAACAAGAGCCCAAAGATGGGAACTGGGGTGGATTTTTTGGAGCAGGAAGCACAGCTGCTGTTGCACAGGTTTGGTTTGCGTTGTACTGACTGATCTCAGAGCTCTGAAATGCTGAAACCCACCTTCATCTTTACTTGAAATACTTTATTTGCCATGAGAAACATGGGCTGAATTCTGGGTTTTTCCTGCCTTGGGGTGGTTTGGGGTGGAGGAACATTTGGCTCCACCTGCCAGCAGTGACAGGAGCTCCAACAGCACCAGGTTTTCAGGTTTACCTCCTGCTCACAGTCAGATAATGCACATTTTACTTCCAAAAAACGGCAAATCTCTGTATTTTTTATATTATAGAAAGGGAGATATTTGTCTAATTGGGCCACAGAGAAAACTCTATATGAAATTGCTGTGATTGCTGTAAATAAGCACTGTGAGGCAGGCACACCTGGATCCCCCCGGGGCTCGGGGCTGTCCTGCGGTGAGCGCGGAGCTCCCCGAGCCCCCGCGGCGCTTTTTGGGCCGATTTGTCCCGATTTCAGTCAAAGCAGAGGAGCAAACCCCCGGTGCTGGGTTAGGGGGGAGCCGAGCCCTTGTTGTGGAACGAATAAACTCCAGCTGTGCAGGTGTCCGGCTGTGCTGTGATGGGGGTACCGGGGATGGGGGCTCGGTGACCTTGGGAGGGGCCCCCGGTGCCCGGTAACGGCGGCGGCGCGCGGGGCGTGCTGGGAGTTGTAGTTTCCAGGCCGGCCAGGTGCAGTGCATGCTGGGAAATGTAGGCCGCAGGTTGGGGTTTTTTTGTTGTTTTTTTGGGGTGTTTTTTTGGTTTTTTTTTTGTTGTTTTTTTTTTTTTCCCCTCCTCCTTCCCCCCTTCCCTTCTTCCTCCTCCTCTTCCTCCTCCAGACGAGCAGGGCGGGAATTGTCCCTAGGGCAGCCATCCGCTAGGCATGCCGGGAGTTGTAGGCCATAGTTCCTCTTCTTTCTCATCCTCTTCTTCCCCAGCCGCGGGGCATGGCGGTAGTTGTAGGATACAGTTTCCTTCCCCCTTCCCTTCTTCGTCCTCCTCTTCCTCATCCTCTCCTTCCAGCCCTACGGAGCAGGCCGGGAGCTGTAGTTCCTGCTGCGACCCCCGCGCTCTTGCCGCGTCTCCCCGGTGCTTCCCGGCAGCCCCCGCGCGGCGGGCGCTGATTGGGCGGCGGCGCTGGCGGGCGCACGCGCGGCCGTTGGAGGCCCCGGGCCGAGCCGCTCCCTCAGCGCCGGTACCGCCGGAACCGCCGCAACCGCCGCTGCACCGGCACCGGCAGGGCACCGGCACCCAGCGCCCCGCCGATTCGCCGGGCCCCCGCCGGGCCCTGCGCGCCCGTTGGCTGAGGAACGAGGCGACACCTGCGTCAGACCGCCGGCGCTGACGTCACGGGGTGCGCGCGTGACGTCACGGCGGTGCGGGGAGGGGGGCCGGGCGGTGACACGGGCCGGGCTCTGCCGCCGCTCCGCCCGCCGGTTTTCCTTCCAGCAGCCCCGGCACGGCCGGTCCCGGTGTCACCGGGGAGCCTTCTTTCTCTCGGGACCAGCGGGAGCTGCGCTGCCAGCTCCTGGTTAGGGTGATAATGGGAAGGATGAGAACATCCAGACCCCTCAGGGGATGGGGATGAGGATGAGGAGCTGGGATTTCAGGCTCTCCTTGGCCAGGGAATTCAGCAGGAATCGACCTCTGTGCTGTGCAGGCTCTGATTTCTGGGTCAGCTGTGAAGTCCCAGAGTTGGGAAGGGCACAAAGGGCTGAGGGGGTTGTGCCCAGCAGGGGAAATTCTCTTATCTGTGGGCTGGGAGGTGCTGCCTTGCTCCAGAGGGAGATTCCAACAGGAATTATCCTGACACAAACCGGGAATCAAGAGATGCTTTCCTCAGCACTGAGCTTCTGCTGAGAACAGGCTCCTTCCTTGCCAGCCAGGGCTGATGACTCCTAAAATCCTGCAGATGTCCTCAAAGCCTCTCCCTTCTGTCTCTGCAGGGCCTGAGAGGGTGCAGAGGCTGTGATGAAGAACCAGGGAGTGGAGACCAAAGCAGCTCCACGTCCTTCCAGAACGAGCAGCGGGATGGGGCTGGAAGAGGGAGACTCACCAGAGGCTGCAGCTCCCCCAGAAGGTGGGGGACCCCTGGGGGCTGGGGGGTTCTGTCCCTGCCCATGGCTGGGGCACTGCTGGCATCCCCTGGGGTGTGTGAGGGCAGCTCGGAGCCTGGGGAGAGCCAGGGAGCTGCTTTTATTGCAGCTCTTTGGAGGGACAGAAAATCCTGGGTTTCCAGGCAAAAAATCCTGGGTTTCCAGGACAGAAAATCCTGGTATTCCAGGGCAGAAAATCCTAGTTTTCCAAGCAGAAAATTCCGATTTTCCTTGGCAGAAAATCCTGGTTTTCCAGGCAAAAAAATCCTTGGTTTCCAGGACAGAAAATCCTGGTTTTCCAGGGCAGAAAATCCTGGGTTTCCTGTGATGAAAATCCTGGTTTTCCAGGCAAAAAAGTCCTTGGTTTCCAGGACAGAAAATCCTGGTTTTCTAGGGCAGAAAATCCTGGTTTTCCTGAGAAGAAAATCCTGGTTTTCCTGGACAGAAAATCCTGGGTTTCCAGGGTAGAAAATCCTGGGTTTCCAGGGTAGAAAATCCTGGGTTTCCAGGGTAGAAAATCCTGGGTTTCCAGGGTAGAAAATCCTGGATTTCCTGAGAAGAAAATCCTGGGTTTTCCAGGCAGAAAATCCTGTTTTTTTCCTGTTCCTGTGTGTGTGCAGTCCTGGAGGAGTTCCCCTCTCCTGCCTGCTGCCAGGATGTTCTGCCTGCTCCATCCCTGTTTGATGCCACCTGCTCTTACCCGGGTTTCAAATCCGTTTTTATGCTAAAAAACCCAGCCCTGGAGCTGCCGATTCCTCTGGGGGGGGAAAAAGCTCACACACAACCTGCTTTCCTTTAAAATAAAAAAAAAAAGTA